CAATGATTGAGGGAGGGTTAGAACCTTTATCTACTAACACTTCTCTGTGATAAGCTTCATGTGCTACTAAAGTCCACTGAAGTCTCTCCAGTAAAAATCACTGTACTCACAAAAAAACCAAAAAGGTACCCTATTTTATATACTTAAAAGACTTATATGTAAATAAGTAAACTTTAATCTTGGAGTGGGGGTAGAGGAGACGAGGCGAAGGAGCAAGGGAAAAGGTGTGGAGAAAAGGTGTTTTAAGATCTGCATTTTTCATTCTCACTATGCAATCAATTTTAAATTCCAAAAACCTGAGTTTTCCCCGGGGTGAGTTTGGTTTGCCCAACAACAGTAACTGGCAAGACATCTCCTGTCTTAAGTCATGAGCTTTCGCACCGTGTTTTTACCCCCACCCCACGGGATTAGTGGGGGAGTGAGGGGCTGGCTGTTGCCCAAGCCTGACCCCCCACACCCCTCAGCACTGATACTCTAACACCTCAAAAGGTTTTGTACTTCTCTTAACATATTGGTCTCACTTTGGGGGAAATTGCTGTTGCATAAACTGAGTTTGGGTTATTGCATGCAGCTAAGCCTGCACAGTATTTGACTTCATCTCTCCACAAGCAGCTACAGATTCAAGACATGCAACCTCAGTTCACTAAAGTTTCAATCTGGAAGTGCAGACCTCTGCTTGCAAGTTTATAAGGGAAGAAAAAAGCCTGAAGATCATCAGTAGCTGATCCTCAAAGAACATAATTTTAAAAGGAAAAAAAGATGTATTGGGAAAAAAAAGCATATTGAAAAATATTTTAAAAGTTTTAAAATCGGCTACAATTTTGAATGAAGTAGGTAAACAATAAGTTAAAATTTCCAATGACCTGTCTGGGTAATGGAAATAGTTTCATAAGATTAATCTAAACACTGAGTCACTAAAACATGACCACTTCAACCTAGAAAAGAGACAGTCTCACAAAAACAAGGCATCACAGTCTGCTGAGCTCTCTCAGAAGCTACAAAAGCTCACAGGTAAACTTTTACAAAGGTGCCAAATTATTTTTTCACATATTTAAAACCTCTCAGAGACATTAAGTCATTCAATTGATAAACACTACACTATACAATACAGATTCTCACTGGTAAGAAGGAAAACAACCCAAGAGGACACTGATACAAATCCTAAAGTCATGGGACAAAATCACAATTCGGTGCTTTCTGAATGCCTTGGCTGTGTCTCCTAGAAGAGATGGATAATGCCAGAGGAGCCCCTGCTCACTGAAAAGGGTCCCCCTATGAGGGCTGGGTGAAAGGGTCAATGATTCCGGTGCTTTGGCCATAGACCAGGCAAAGGAAGAACACAACAATTATACTGACTCTGAACTTGCCTGATTCTGGTCTAGGTGAACAGCTGAGATGGTGCTTCTGCACAACATGGTCAGTCACAAATGCCACTTCAGAAAAGGCCTGAGCCACGTGAGCTTTGTTTTTAAAACATAGCAAATATATGTATATAAAATATGGCTTTTTGTCAGACTGAATTTGTGAGAGAAAACCAACAGACCCTTTAAAAAAAGCCAACAAAAATACTAAAGAACCTTTGGGAAGTTCCACAGCTGTTCTATAAAATGTGTCAGGTGGAACACGTATTGTAACTGAGGATGGAGAGACCTGAAGAGAAGGACTCCCAGACACCTGCCTGCCTGCACGTGGCTGTGCTGAGTCATCTGTGATCAAACCTGGCTGAACACAGACCTGTTTGCCTTGGCACTGCTCACTGCTGACCCCTCCTGCCCTGTGACAGTCCCCTCCACACTAAGTGAGCAATTCCCATCTCAGTGCTGGAGAACTGGAGAGTGAAATAGCAGTGGAAGTGTGTATTGTGAACTCCAACCCTGTTACAACTATGCTGGCCGTGTTAATTCCTCCTTTATTAGGCAAAAATAGAATCAGATCACTGATCTTACACAGAACAAAGAAAATTTGGCTACACGTTTGTTTCACTGGGATTAATTTAGGTCTTTAAAACGTGATGTTCTACAGTAGAGTGATTCATGGAAGACTTGGAAATAAAGTTAGGGGGAGGGTGTTTGAAACCTTGAGACACCAATTAAGTTCTCTGGATTCCACTGAGGTCACTGGAAATGCAGTGGAGGTTTAGTCTTAGCTTGGCCTGGCTCAGCTGGTATGTGTTATCTTTACCAATTCTCATCTTTTACATGTCTAGAAGAGGTTTGCCAGCTGCTGCATATACAGCTATTGTACAACATAAGCTGGTATAGTATATAGGACAATTATTCATTTAAATAGGTCTATTAATCATTATAGTTTGTCATTTGGCACATGAAATGGGCTTGTATTCATTTTTTTTCTGTATGAAGTAGGCATTTTAAAATCTTTCACTGTCAAACAAGCCTGTTACACAGGCAGTGCAATCTTTAATGCTGTTTATTTATCAAACTTAATGTAATAGGATTCCTTGACATAGTACACTGATGAAGAAGTGAGGTTCATTTTCAGAATGCTGAAAAAGTAAACAGCTAGCAGCTGATATTCTTCACACTTTCTGTAATGCACAAATATGTACTGCCTCAATGTGCAATAATTTCTACAGCAACCCACAGATTTCATAAAATGCAATGAGAAAGCTTGCTGTAAGACCTGTTAATCACTGAAAAGTGATATTGTAAGCTACAGCTGTGGTCCAGTGATTCACAGATCTGGTTATAAACCAGTGACAGATGATCTCAGTTGTTGCATTATAAGAAGCATTAGCAACTCCTGGATTTAGGTAAAATGGTGTATTATATATCAGAACTAAGAGATTGGTATGTAAAAACAATCCCCTCCTGCAATGATATGCAACTTCTCCCGGTCTCCAGAGGAAGCAAGATCTTTTTTAGCTCACACTGCAATAAAAAAAACAAACCCCATTGGTTTGTTTTTGGTTCTTTTTTAGGGAGAGAATAAAAAGCATTACAAATCACTGTTACCAGTACAGCAAACCTTTAAATGTTCTGTGTGATAAATGTGTACTGTAGGTTATATGTGCATGAGATCTGCAATTGTACTTTCTCTACTTGTCAGGTGCAATTACTTACAATGTACTAAAGCACACAAACAAAAGCACAAAACCCATTTACCCACTGTTAATTACATTACTTTTGACAATCAGAATAAGATGGCTGTCCAACTTCTTTCTTTCCCAAGCCCAACCTCCTCTGTCTTGTAGAGAGTATTATTATAAGAGAGATGAAAAGTCTTCAGGTAAAATTCAGGAGCGCAGTTCAATCAAGAAATATATTAAGATAAAAAAGAACATAATATTACCACAGTGTATACACACTCACACAAGGATTTGTGACATTTCTCAAGTACCGTTGTTAAAAAATCAGAATTGCAGTGTTTATCAGAGGTATAGTGACTTTTGCAAGAACAGGCACAATATTTTAGAGTGTTCCCATCAATAGAGCTTTCCACTCATAATACAACTCGCTAGGGAATGTGCAGGTTCATAAACCAGAATTTTCCAAAAGCAAATGATAAGCCACCAAATACAGAAGTGATTCTTATATTCAGGCAGTATTTATAGTGAATCCTATAAATGCAAAGTACAAGAGATCATGACAGGAGCCAGTTCTTCAAATGTGCAGGTAGGTCCACCTTTCCCTAGACCAGGAAAACAACTTTGTACATAGCTAGTCCCTGTTCCACAGTGATTTGGCCAAAAAAAGAATGGTGATCTAAACCAACAGCAAACAAACAAAAAAAAAAATTCCAGTTTCTTTGGTTTTCTTCCTATAAACTTTCCCATGGGAAAGTTTACATGAAAATGAGAGAGGAGACACCACGGAGCAGCCTTGTGATACAGGGTTAGGTTGGGTCTTAAAACAGCCACAGGTGGAATCTGAATGTGCTCATCTTACCTGTTGGTGGGGGGGAAAGCAAACAGTAACCATCAGTCTAGAAGGCAAATATGGCTCTCTAAAATAACCCAGTAAATCTAACTCACCCCCACAGGTGTTTCTATTTTCCTTCAGTTATCTCTGGGACTCAACCCCCCCTCCTGGCAAGGCAAATTTTGCTGACTCAGCAGGCAGGTGAACAAAGGAAGGGCAGTTTGTTTCTGGATGGCAACCTGAGAGGGGCAGGAATGGGCCGGGCATGGGGAAGGGATGGGCAAGAGCGAGGCTGGTGGCTCTTCAGGCACAGTGACTTCTCAGACTGCCTCATCTCCAAATCCATCTGCAGCGTCAGGTGCCTTGCCCCACGAGATACTTAAAGCAACAGCTTGAAGAGGAAAATGCACCTGCAGGCCTAACCAGTGAACCTTGGTTTTGCATATCCTACACCACTCTTTTATGCTTTGCCATTGAAATTGAGAAGGAGCTACTTTTTCTCCCAAACTCAGTCGTTTTGCAGAAAAGGAAGTGCTTTTTTTCCCCAGTCAGCCCTGAGAACATCAACATATGGAGCCTGTTAGACATAAGGGAGAGTGCAATGTGTTTTGAGAAAATTCACAGCTTTCTAACCTAGATAATGTCAGCAGAAATTTCTTTATTTGCATCGCATATTATCAAAGCCAAGAGAAGAAAATATATTACAAAAAAAAAAAAGTATTTTTGTAGATCATACAAGAATAAAATTTTAAGAAGACAAGACATATCTGGAGAAGAACCAAATGCCATTTTTAAAGGTTTATATTTTAATTGAATCCAAGATGTTCAAGTAAGCCTTTCCTTAAGGTACATGTCCCCAATAAATGTCATTCAATACAAAGTAAAGGGGAGAGGTTTAGGGTTTTTTTCTATCCTAACTCTAAAGCACACCCACAGAAAAGCGCACATATGCAGACTCTTTAACTGAAAGAAAGAACAAAGAAATTCTAAAAGGCTGTTCTGAATTACTACAATATATTTAATCCATCAAATGTATCTTTGTGTTTCTCTAAGCCTGAAGTAGAAAAACATAAATAGACTCTCCTGTGGGTGTGGACCTACAATATCTGGTTCTTCTCTTACCTCCATCTTTCCTTCATTTCTCATTATACAGGTTGGAATTGCACCATAACGGAGTCTTGCTCATTCTGAAAGGAACAGAAATTTTGACATTAGAGATGCCAAAGCCTCATGACTAGAATATATCATATTCCAGTGGTTTTTGTTTTTTATTTATCAGGATCATGATGAAAAAATCTTCCAAATGTGTAGCGTCCCTCCCCTTCCAAATGTCTTTTGGTAGCAATACTGACCACAGAGCAATAACATGTCATTTATCATCCATCCTACAAGAAAAATACAGCCAATAGTTCTAACAAAGAAATGGGACTTCAAAGTCCCAAGAAAAAAAATTAAAAAGAAGTTAATGGGACCACAATGTCCTTTAGAACTCTGGGAAAATAGAAATAGAATTTTTAAATTCTCGAGTTTAAGGTCTTTGCATCTTCCCTTTAATTATCTATATGTATTTTCATACAAAAAGAAACAATTTAATGCTGGCATAAATGTATGGAGTCCTATTTTTATAGTCATGATGTTCTGCTAAAAAAAAAAAAGGTTCACTGAAACAAAGCAACAAATAAAAGCACTAATTTTTTTCTATTAACTGATATTTCATTTTGTTACTTGCTACAGTAAAATAATAAAAACTTTTAAAATTCTGATTCTTCAAAAAAACCCACACCTCAAAACTATTTACTAGTACTAAAAGAAATGAAATATCTGCACTGAAGTATTGACTAAAATGGTGCTGTAAATTGATTGTCCTCTATTTCATGGCAAAAACTATTTAAAATTATTCTTATCATAGAAGATTCATGGTCTGCTCCACTTCTGAAGACAAAAGTGAAGAATGCTTTTAAGGTGTTTTACAACTTCTCTCCCTATTTTGGACAAAACTATGAGGAAAAGAAGTCTTTTTGTCTTTCATAATCAGAAATTTTGAAATTCAATAAAACAAGTATGATGTGAAACCTGTGAAAGTTCCTACTAGTCCCAATTAAAAATGCCAGTACCTGCACAAAAAAGAAAAACAAACCAGACATGAGAACTTCACAGCAGACATAGAAACAAGGGGCTGTATTCTAGTTCCAATAGCCATAAACCAAAACTATCAACACCTCAGATCCCAGGAGCAGTTCATGATTATGTTTTCTGAATTTTTTGTTTCATCCTACAGTAAAACCACAGCAACCCAACTGAACAAAAAGCAGAATTTATAAAGCAAGTGCTGTGCAGGAAGGAAGACTTGTGATGCAATGGCTGACACTGGTCATTTATTTGGCAGACAGACTTTGTAAAGACAATCAGATTTCACTTGTTCAAATTGCCCATAAGACGTTTGGTGCCTTGGGTTAGAAACATGGTCTTCAGCTGACACTGTTGTTAGCCCAGCAGGATCCTTTCCCTGAATCAGGGCAGAGCTGAACACCCCTGTTTGCTCTGAGCACTGACTGCTGCTGCTCTGCAGCCATTTCAGAACAAGCACCTCGCCCTTTCAGACACTGTATCCGGCTTTCCAAAAATGAAGCTGGTTTGATTTGTGACACTCACGTGGCTTCCCAGTTATTTCATCAGTTTTAATAAGTATTTATTTGCTTAAACCTGAAGCATCTGGTATGATTGCCCTCTAAACTGGTTATTTCTCTTTTGATTAATTTGCTTATCTATATTAATAACACAATCTATTGTAATTGATCTACAAAACTATCAACAGCTATTAACAATATGAAGAATCTCCTCTGAATACAGTACTTATTTGTTTATTGGTTTATAGGCTGAGACTTGGATTCAGAGCACATTCCAAACAATGAATGAATAAATGAACTGCAAGTTATGGTCTCCAGCAGTCAGAGATCAGATTCTATTTAAACACAGTATAAAATGAAGTATAACGTTATGAGCTCAAGCAAATAGATAAAATTAGTTAAAAGTAGTAGTCACCATATATGAATACCTTCTAGCAAACCATTTCACAAATGTATTATGTTACTGGATTAAGGTCAAGTTAGGAAATAAAAATTATTTCATTCTAAGAAATAGTCATCACACAAAAATCCAAGAATGTTAAGTGTATCTCAATATTCTCTCCTTGACACTTTTTCTTAATTAGACTCCTTTCTCACTAGATTTCCAGAAAAGCATTCAAAGCAAATCATCATAATATTATGAGATGCCACACAAGGGACAGGGAAAGTCTGCAAATTATTCCTTGAGAACGAAAACAAAATGCGTATCTGTCAAAATTACGTGTTTTCTCAGGCATTGCAGGCTTCCAAAGATGAGATATACCCAGAAAGCATTAATGTGGAATCTGAGATGCAGAAACTCCAGTAACTATGGACAACTCCCAGGTGGCCTCTTGCCAAAATTTCTTGATGAGTATACAGAGTGCATCCAATTTGGATGGGTACTTTAGCCCTGGGGAAAGTCATTATGTATATAAGGGAAAAACAATTCTCAAGTTTAACAAGCAGGAACACACTTGCAAAAAACTCGTGCTATATTTGACTCTGTGTTTGTGTTCTAAGTGACTAATAGAGGGAAATGAGCTAATCCAAACAGGGAGGAAGATTGTGTCTACCAGCCTGATCTCTCACATAAGGTGAGAACAACGACTGCAGCTTCTCTTTTCTCCTTTTCCAGGTAACTCTGCAGAGAGCTCTGATTCAGACCCTGATAAAGTCCACTAAAACCAGTCCTAACAGGCTGGTTGTTTTCCTAACATCACTGATCACACTTGTCTGCCTACTCCTAAACATCTCTCACCTCTGTAATCCTAAATCTATTCCTGACACACACTTTTCTCCAGACCAGTTATTCTGTACCAGCACCCTTCCTGCCCCCTGTTCTGGCAGAACTTCTCCTCACATCTTACAAGGCCTGTCATCTCCCAGCTGAAAAAAACCCACCCCAACTTAAAAACAAATGTTGTAACAAACGTGAGTTTTAAATAAAACGGCTTAAGGATAATTTTAGTCCACAATCATGGATCATGTGTCATGAATCCTCTCCTTTCATGTAACTGTCCTCTGAAAACACTTTGCTGTGGTTTCAGCCTTAGATTCCCTTCTGTGTCAGTGGTTCATTTTCCTTCTTCCAGCAAAGTAGTTTTAGCTGTGTGTTTCTGGTCGTTTTCTATTCCACATTTTAAGTCTTTCTCCAAAAATATTTCAGGCTGCTAATGGAATTATTCAGTAGGAGAGACAACATTTTCCAAATAACTATCTAATAATGTGTACCTAAATTCATATTTAAACACACTGATGGTTGACCTGATTTTTTTTTTCCAACAATACCTACACAAGGAAGGAAAGTGCTTTATCTAAAAACAGCACATCCAGCTCATTTAAAAAGCCTGGCAATTATTGGCACTGTGTTCTCTGCAGTGTTCATAAAAGAGTAAATATTTGAAAAAATATTAGCCATGAGAACAAGAACCATTATGATGGATGCTGCACACATTTCTACAATTTAGTCAGCAAAAGCACGACAGCACTTTAAAAAAATTAGTTCTTCTGAAATACAGAAGCAGATGACAAGATACATGGAGTATCTGTGAGCAAAATCTCAGTGAGAGAATGGCAGGTAGCAAGTACTGAAACTTCCAGAAACAGCAGGTAAAGAATACAGTGAAAAATATTCTAAGATTCTAAAATCTTTGATTTTCTGTTCCTTAGACTAGCTCTTTTATTCCAGATTTAAAGAAACCTTAACAAACTCATCGCTGAAGCACAAAGACAAATGAACTCCCATCTTATGTAGGAGCTTTACAAAATGTACAGAGAAATCTGATTGGATTATAAATATGTTAAAAAAAAAACGAAACAAACAAAGCAGATTATTTGTTTGCTTTTGAAACATGCCCTGTAACAAAACCACATTTGATAGAATTGTGGATTGGGGTATAAGGTTCAGTGGAAGTGCGAGCTGGTAAATGAAACATTTGTCATTCCAGAATGACAGGCTATAAGTCAAGATGCCAATCATTAAGGGAGAACAGATGTCTCCAGTTGTCTGCTGCCTCTTTATTTTGTTTTTATTGTATCACAGAGATGGCCAGGAATACCCAAAGTTAATACCTCTTTATCATGATGAACAGGGCATGTTTGCCCTCCTGAGCACTTAAGGAATAGAGATGCCCCAGGAAATAAGATCAGCAGCACTGAAAAGGACGTGTCACATTCTCAGCAGCCACCAATACAACAGCAGTACCCACTTGGTGTACAAGCCTGTTATCTGCATTGCCATGGGCACTCACAGTCTGGTTAAATAAAATTCTTTAATAAAGTCGGTAAAAGTTTAAGACTAAAACGACTGGGGAAAAAAAAAAGCCACTTGACTGTACCTGCCTTGGACCATCTAATGAATGTACTAGAAGTTAATGGACTAAAATCAGAATACTGAAAACTAGGCTTAGATGGGGAAAATAATCAGAGAATATAATGTTTTCCTTATCATACCACTTCTACTCCTTCAAAAAAGAAATTTCAAGAAGGAATCATGACATGAAATCATGACATGGATGAGAATACCCTGAAACAAGAGTATTGCAGCCCTTATGCTGCTTCCAGTCTCTCTTTAGGACGTTATGGATATTTCAGTAGCCTAATCCTGGCCAGTATCCCGACATAACTAATGTGAGAATTGCCACGAAACCTCCCATGGTCAACTTTCCCCAGGTCTGACTAAGAGTTGAGATGTGACAGCTGATGCTGTTCTCCTTCCTTATTTATGTGCTTGCCTTTCCACTCAGAGTTCTTACTCCCTTTTTTTTTTCCTCTTCTTCTTGTCTTTCACCTAAAGAAAATCTGTATTAGGCAGTGAGAACAAAATCCTGTCCAACACCTGGGGTGATACAGGAAAATTCATGCTTGGAAAAGCCTTTATTCATGTCTGTCATTCATGGAATAATGAACAAAACCATGTACTAATCCTTGTTCCTGGCTGCCAGCTTGTATAGTCAATACCCAAAACAGATATTTCCTCTTAAATACATTATTTGCTTGGTTTTAAACTCTTGCTGTCTTAATAGAAAAGTTGTAAATTAGTAATGATGACAACAGTAGTAGCCTTTCATAACTA